TTAGTTTGCTTTAATAAGTATATGAACATTTATTGACAAATGAAATGTTAATTGAACTCATCATTGGAACATTTTAAAGCTATTTCACGTCAAAAAGTTTGGGTCTATATAGGTTAGGCTTTAGGTATTTCGTTTTTCAAAAGAAAATATTAATTTTAAACTGCTGACTTAGGAGGTGCCTTACTTTGAGAGTAAAGTTCTCCAAATACATTTTGTTTCTTGGCTTGTTCTTTGTCTTTTCATAGAAGCTCTAGAAGCTCTAGTTCAGCTCTTCTTTAAGTTCTCAACGTCTTTAAAATGTTTTGTTTAGCAACTTACTTAAAAATATCTTAAAGAAAACTTGATGAGCTAAGAATTAAAGATTGGGTTTTAATTATAGGTTCCAACTGCAGGTTTTTAATATTGTTTGCATGGAATTCATTATCTTTGTGCTAAACTATTTTTTTTTATCTGATGGTCAAAAGGAGCCAGTGAATTTACATTTTCATCTTAGAAAAAAAAAAACAACAGAATATCAAAAACAACATTTCAGTTACAATTAGTGTTGCACCGATACCAGTATCGGGCGGGGCCCTGATCCAGCACTAAAATGGTGGTATCGTATCGACGAGTTCAAACAAATAGGGCCCTGATACCATTTTGAGAGCCAAAAGTTTATCCAACTGTCACCCATTCAAGGTAGGCAATAAAATGTTTTACTGGATTCACTTTGTATTTATCGTTTTCCTGATACACAAAGGTAGGAAGCAGCTTGACAAAGCCATGACGGCAATTATTTTACATCCAAGTAGTATGCAGTTCTTCATATATACACAGACATCCATTTCAAACAAATGGTATCAGTATTGTATCAGCAACATTGCACAGCCAGGTATCGGGTATTGGTATCAGGGCCAAAAAATGGCATCAGCACAACACTAAATGATTATAATATGAATTTCCAGACTATATAAAAGATTTTGCATCACAAACGTTAAACTTGTTGTAGGTATATATTTCTATACCATAATTCCCCTTCCATTCCAAAGATACCCTATGATGCATCAGTCAAAAACAGTCTGCTTCTTTAACAGAGGTCTTACAAGTGCCTTATGCTTTATCTTGAGGGAGTGTATGGCCCTGACTTAACTTTTGTGGTTAAACCTGTTTTCTTTGGTATCACATGTTAAGGTTGTGCTTATAACAGCATCATTAGGATTGCATGAGAAATATGCAAACCTTAGTCACAAATGAAAACATCCTGTTAATGTTATCTGATACCAGGTTTCATTAATCTTTACTGCCAAAGTAAGAACTTCTGAAAAACAGCTAGGCCTGTTTTAAGGCTCTGTACAGAATGCAACGTATCTGTAAGAGGTTTATCATCAACCTTCAAACAGCTATTTTTTTTCTTGCCTCAGCTTTTTTTAAATCTCTATGCAAAGCTTAACAGAGAACCAAAATTTGCAAGGTCCGCATAACCGTCTCATAGAGTTGCAAAAGGTTCCATAGGTTTAGGGCTGGGTAACGAACTTCGGTTCTTTTATGGTACCGACCGAAATGCTTCGGTTCTGCAGAGTATCGAAACATGCCTCGTCTTTCGGTACCAAGTTTCGGTGATTGGCTGTAACACTTAACGTGATTGCGTCAACCAGGAAAAATACACAGGTGGTCCCGCCTACAGCCAGGGTTCATGTGTATCTGTTGTGAACTGGTTGCAGCATCGTGGAACCCCTTTAAAATGTCCGCCAGGTCAAAACTGTGGCTTCACTTTATTAAGACTGATGCCAATAGTGCGCAATGCAATACATCGTGCATGGACACAATTTAAGAGCAGAAAGTTGCTCGGTGTTTGACTGCAAGAAGAGCGGACCGACCGCAGCCGGCGCAACCATCCTCCTCTCAGCAGCCCGTGGGCAGTGCAAAGCCAGAGCGGAGTGAATCATGCTGCTTTCAAACTGGACGCAGCAGGAGCAGCAAAATCACGTCTGCTGCTTCCTTTTTGCTGCATATACCGGCTTCTGACGCGCGGCTGAAGAAGCTTTGTATGGCTTGCCATAGCTTTGCTGTTCTGGCTGCGCGGTCAAAAAGTGGGTCTGACGCGCGTTGGGCGGAGCTACTCTATCCTTTCTTTGCCTTGCAGCTATATTTGCTGTGATCAGTGGGAATAAAGTAGTT